CAACGACCACACTCTCCAGCCAACCGGCAAGAACTGATCTTGGCCCTCCAAGAAGAATGGCGTCAAATCCCACGTGATCTAATCAGACGACTTACTTTTTCTGTGCGTCGAAGAGTTTTTGCGTGTATTGAGGCATTGTATGTCACATCGTGGCTCTAGAATCCGGTACTTGTCTGTATCCTTCCCACGATTGATATATCTGAACTGATTTTATGACGTCACGGTTGCGTATCATGTGACTCTAGATCACCTATAGATCTAAATAGACCTGTCAAGGTTAACTTCGGAGCGGCAATTTTGACTTTTACAAGCAAGGTAGGGTTCTAGGGTTTTACTCACAGCTAAATTATATTTTTCGCATTCTGAGAGATTTTTTAATATTAATATTTGGTCCGCTCTCTAAGTATTTGATCGCGGGTTTACCTTTGTTGACATCCGGATGACGTCTTAGAGTTCCGAGATTCCAACAGCCATTCCGGATTCATTCCGACGGAATATTCCAAGATCGTAATTATTCAAGCATACAAGTTACAGTTACAGTTATCGCAAGTTGCAAGTGATTTGTCGTCCGTATAAAATATTACAGTTTGCAGTCTATATTGAGATGTTTTGACAGTCGTCCATCAAGGTTTTTATCTACAGACGTTTACAGGGATTATTCCAGAATCGATCCTAGATACATGTATTTAATTCCAAGCTTTAATTAGGATTTGACTTCATACTGACTTCAATCGCATTTTGACAGACTTCAGGAATGTATTGTTTACATTACATGGATCCAAAAAGTTCGTACACTTTCAACTTTCAAAGTTTATTGTACAGTTTAATTGTTTTAACAGTTCAGATATATCAATCGTGGGAGGGATACAGACATGTATCGGATTCTAGAGCCACGATGTGACAGACAATGCCGAGCGACTGATGTTTCCAGTACAGTTCAAAGCCGGTATCGCGTCTCGCGACTTCGAGACCATGTACAAGACTTTTCAGTTCATTGAATAATTAATATACTCGCTATTGAACTTTACCTACTTGTTGTGTGATCCTTCTGCATTTCGCTTGTTTCGACATTCGTAAATTTGACGCAGTTGCCAGCGCCACCATCATTGAATCAGGACTGTATCTTCAAGACTTCCAGATAACTGTTCCATTTTTACGTCCGAATCAAAAGCCATATCAACTGCACTAGAGTTCATTAGTAAACAATTTAATCATAAGCAATTTATCCTATTTTCAGATTCTCTTTCTTGTCTTCAGGCAATTTAAAATATGTCTTGTAAACATCCACTAAAATTGAAATTATTGAACTATTACATGTTCTTGCTACGAGCCAATACGAAATCGTTTTGTTACCCAGCCATGTTGGAATCTTTGGTAACACAATGACCGATGCTGCTGCAAAGGCAAAAAAGGCAAAAATTCTGTGACACCACTTCTAACCCCATGCAGTAATATTAAACCTATAATTAGATGTTACATCCGACACCTGATCCAAAAAAAGTGGGACGCCCAAGCAGGCATGAGTGAGTAGTGAGTTGTGTTTAACGCCGCTTTTAACGGTATTCCAGTTATATCACGGCGTGTCAGCTTAATGTGGGAGGAAAACAGGTCTTAGACGTTTACCACTTCGGTGAAACCCACGAGCACGGGCATGGTGATGACAAACCTTGAAACATAATCGGGGCGAATCAATAAACTCTGCATAGCAAATTGCGGCGCCTTAGACGACTGGACCACCCGTGCAGGTATGAATAAGTTACATCGCATTAAACCAACTATTGGTTACACCTACTTGGGTTGTCAGTCCAGATTTGAAGAGGTCATTATGCGACGATGTCGTATTGACCATTACAGATATACACATGCGTATTTATTTCAAGGTGAAGACCCCCCGTTCTGTATTCCCTGTGATGTTCTGCTTGACTGTATTGATTTTGCCATCACAAGGGATACCCATTTCAAAGTTTCATCTATAAAGGATCTTTTTAATATCAGTTCTCATTTAGTTATTGTTTTTTAAAAAGAAATTGAATTGTTCCATAAATTTTGATTAATATGTTGTGTATATAATATAGCTTTTATACTTGGCAGAATAAATATAATAACTGAGATTGTTAGTGGCTGTATCCTCGAAGGAGGTTTGAAGTAGTGTAAAATGATTGTCCCCTGGAGAGGGTATGTAAGACCACGTCATTCCAAGTTGATTTATTCTTACCACATCGTTTAATCGTAGAATATGTGTTGTTATAATAAGGCTAAATGTGTTAATAATCGTCAACACCTGAAGGGATGATGTAAATGCTGCTGGGGTCAATACAGGTAGCAAAAGTACTGTAAGTCCCCATGGTCCCTCGTAGGGTGATCTACCTTCAGTTGTTGGAGATCAATTGCCTGTTTTAATCATATATTGTTTTGTAAAGTGCTGTCCATTTTATGATTCTATACTAGTTTTAAATATTTTTCTTTGATTGGTCTAGTTATTTTACTGTCCTTCGTTGGCAGGTTTTTATGTCAGTTTGAAAGTATTTATAATGCTTAACCCTTGATAGTCACGATATTGCCGATTTAACTCACACTCACACTCTAATTTGACAGCCAAGGTGATCCCACAAGAGTTCTACAGGTGATAATTCTGGTGATTGGGCTGGGCAAGGCAGGATGTTTTCTGGGCCTTGTGTTTTCTAGTTAAAACAGTGTCTGTCTTGTTCTGTTGCAAGAGCGGTAGTACACCAGGGTAGAGGGACTGGCCAGTGTAACGCTGTCCAGTGGTGTTTCCTTCCAAAATCACTAGACCTGTCTTGACTTGGCTACAGATGCTGAATTGACAAGACTAATGATGCCGCATTGACAGTGCTACAGATGCTGCCCTCTCCAAACGGTTCTTTGCCAGTTTCTGTTCTACCAGCGTTGCAGTGACAGCGTTACGTCTCGTAATGGTATGCTAGCTCTAGATCTGATACTGTATCGACGCAGTCTTCTGGACACTGTTTAGCGACTGACATTTAAGAATTGACCTTCACTTTGTGTGAGTTCATTGGAGTATGAACCTTCATAGAGTGAGGGCCAAACTGTATGAACGTCGGAGCTTGCGACGACGTTCATACAATGTTTGGCCCTCACTCTATGAAGGTTCATACTCCAATGAACTCACACAAAGTGAAGGTCAATTCTTATAATTTTTTTATCACTATTTCTTACCTCAAAAGATGTAGGCCTAGATCTAAACACAATTTTATTTATTAGGTGACATGGGCGTATGGATGCACAACTTGCTCTCCAGAAACATCTTACGCAGGACATGTGTTCAAATCATATCCTCATTAGATGAGAAAGGTCTGTAAAGAACTACCTCAGTAAGTCAGTCACAATGACAGCGCGTCGTAATACATTTACATCAAGTACAAGACGTCAAAATGGCCGACACGATAAACGTGACGGGAGAGATTTCCGAAGTTGTTGATGAACCTTTGGCGGTTACATGTGTTAGTCATCATTAATCAACTGGCCGATCATTGAAAGGTGAATAAAGATGCGTCAAACAGACACAAAGGTAAATTCATAGATTGCTGGAGACGGTCAATGTCAGCCTAGGCACGGATCGAGTCGATACTACGATCGTTTAGATGTGCATTTCTTCGTTTGTTCATTAGGATGGGCGGTAGCGAGGATATTCGTGAACAATCATGCAGTCACGCTCTCTGACATTTCTCAAAGTATACTGAAACGCTGAGACCAAGAATAAAGGTTCTAAATGATCAGAAAGAACGCTTATGCATGTTTTCGTGCAAGGGAATTCCCAGGGGTTTCCCCAGGAATGTGGAAGTAGTCCGTCAGTGTTTACGTCATTTCAAGAACACGGTCTCGTGAAAAACGTATGAACGTCAAATTGTGTCGTTCATACACTTATGAACGTCAATTTCGCGGTCATGTGACCGACCTCTCGTCCAATGGAAAAGCCGTATATCGTGTAAACTTCAAATCTAAAAATTATAGTGACTTGCCTCGGTTGATGACGTCACAGTGTTTAAATATTATTTCTCTTATGGGGGATATGCAAATAGCTTTTCTTGGGTGGTTGTGACAGGAGGTCTGCCACTCCTAGACCTGTCTCTGTTCGCCAAGTCTGCCTGAAACAGGCCATGCGACTGGTAATTATCATTCGCCTACAGCCCAAACTCCTTTCGACGTGGTCATGCGTTGCTCCTTGCTGTATCATACCAGCAGCTTCTTGTTTCTGTTGTAGAGTTAAGCTAGCTTAGCATATGCCAGTGTCCAACGTTTTGGGTGCGAATGAGCAGTACATCGTCCCTTTATTTTTGTAGGTTGGCATGCTGTTAGTGCAGCCAAAGTTGCACTTCAAGCTCAAGTTCCCTTGATCTGGTTACTGTAGCACGTTCATTACTCAGCACATTGTTTGGTTGTGTTCAGGCGATCGACTTTCAATCATTTTCTAACACTATATGGAGTTTGGACCCAACGTGTCCAAATTTCAGTTTGGTCACGTTACTTCGTCAATTTATATAAAAAGTTTTGTTAATTATGTCCATTATCCACACAATCTTAGAAGTGGAAATGTACATTCCTCGAGCAGTTGTAAGAACAGAGATGTCACGTTGACCAGTTTTCTGCCAATCTGGGCTATTGCTACACATATGGTTGTTGTAAAAATGATTTTTATTATATAAAACTGCTTTATCATACTGTTATTTTCAATGGTATGTTTTAAAAACTCCTAGATCTTCATATGTACTGTTGTAATTGTGAACAGTGAGACAAATTTAACATTCTTTCCATGTGTTGAATTTGAAATGTGACGTAAAAAATCTCTTTTATGAATACATGACACTTTTTATTGATAGAAACTTATTTCATTCTTTTATGAAGAAAAGAAAATCTTAGCTTCTGAACTTGATGGAAAAAAACATGACTCTACCCGAAAGGCCGTATTCTAGGGCGGTTTGTGTTAATGCTTTCGACCGGTTTGGTTGAAAGCCGATTCAAGTGCTGACGAGAGATCGGAGTGTTGCTAAATATTGAAGTTTCTTCGCTGTTCGGAGCTGTGCAACGACAACGTCACAACTCAAACAAGACAGATCAACGGTGGAAAAGAAAACACTTTGGGGCGATGTATAAGTCTTCTAACGACGAGTTCCAGTTCATTGTGGACTCCAGTAACGGTAATGCAATAATTTAGTCATTCAAACAGAAACACAAATATGTTGACCGATACTGGCCCTGCATAATTAAGATACGATTTTTTTCGTGTTGTTTGAGAAATTTCCAATATCAGGTTACTTTAATTGGGAAGAATTTACAAATCTAGCTCAGTAGGCCCCAAACCATAGGCTAAAGCCGTACATGTTCGCGGGATAGTTGGAGAGAGGCTGAGAGATTGACTGTGTTAATGGCAGGGCCTTGTAACTAGGCTACTGGTCACCGACCAGTTATCGCCTTTTTTCATGTTATTTCTGACATATTCCGGCGGAAGGGGTCGTTGTCGGCACAGGTTCAATAACCCCAGACATAAAAAAATTTCACACACATAAACTAACCTTAAATTCATGGTGTCTGGCCGTCAGCTGGCACCGCTCTGTGCATCTTCCAAGGCAAGAGAGTTAACAGACTATGAAAGTCCTGTTTCCACCCTTGCCGAACTAGGCTAGTGTTATGGAGTTACATTTTGGCAGGACTAACGAATGTGTGCATAGTCAAATCAAAATCGTGCAACCGCCATTTTGATTGAAACAAATGCAAGTCATACGAGAGGTGGAATCTGATTGGTCCATAGGAGAGGCATAGAAGGGACATAACTTGTTATATTACTTGCCCGTGAAGAGATCACCCGTTTAATAAACATACAGCTGTATTACACATTGTGTAATACCAAAACGCGTGGTACTTATGTACTCTGGGAACACGTTTCACGAATAAATATTGAAAGCTCTCAACATCCCTTGGCTTATTCAATGACATTGCGTGTGGAGTTGATAGATCACTGAGAGGAGCTTATGCACACTCGATGACCCCAGCAACCTTGTTGCTAGGCTGACGTCACATGGCATTGTTTCGCCGATGGGTCTTGCAACAAAATTCCACAAATTACATCATCGGGTATTGTGACGTTATTGTAAACTTTGAGGTACAAGGCCAATTCCACAAGGCGATCGTATTGTAGCGCAACGACAGTCGTTAGTCTAAGTTAAAGCGTGTGAGTTGCGATAGTCTTAGCCCTACGATAATTTTGTGAATTCTAAAGGTGGACCGTTGTATGGTATTAAATTCATACCTTTCAACTTTTGACGTGTTTGAAGTATTATTCTCTTAAACTCAATTGGACTATGCCATGGATCGTGTAGGTGTCAGCCTATTCATACTCAACAGTATAATTCTAAAAACGTTATAAATGGCAAGTAATAAATAAAATAATAAACTCGCTCCCGTGTAAAACCAATTTTATGAAACTCGTGAATAGTTGTGGTATTCCAACTACTCACTTGTTTCATAAAATTGGTATTACACGGGAGCTCGTTTAGTATTCTATATATAGCCACTGGTGGCGCTACGATCGAGTCCAGGAATTCCAGTCTTGTTCAGCAAGGGTGGAAACTGGTCTTTTAAAGTCAGTTAACTCTCTTGCCTAGGGAAGATGCGCACTGTGATGATGTCGCGGTTTTAAAAACGTATACATTTTATCAAAAGTGTTACAACGTTCTTATTTATCTACACAGTGTAATTCAATTGTAGTGAGTGAGTGAGTGAGTAGGGTTTAACGCTGCTTTTAACATTATTCCAGTCATATCGCGGCGTGTCAGCTTAATGTGGGAGGAAAGCCCGGAGTGATGCAGGTTTCAGACGTTTACCACCTCAGTGAAACCCACGAGCACGGGTATGGTGCTGACAAACCTAGAAACATAATTGGGGCGAACCGGGATTCGAACCCACAATCATAGGTTTCTTGCGTGCCCAAGGGACGCAAACCCTGCACAGCGAATCGCGGCGCCTTAGACGACTGGGCCACCCGTGCCCCCATAATTCAATTGTAACTCGAGTTGATTGTCTTTCCAACAGTAACTAAATGCAACATATCCAAAAAATCTATGCACTGCCTAGCCATCGATCAAAGGGCTGGTGTATTGTAAGTTTCCTACTATTCTTCATTAATCGTAATATGGAAGCACCCACATGTGGCAAGTAAAGTCAAGTAAGTGCCCTTGTTCGAAATTAAATGTCCAATAATCCATATCATTGGAAAGTACATATCCTAACGGTGATAGACATATGACATTTATTTCGAATTTCACGTTCATTGAGTATTTCCCGTGATTTATAGTTACAGATAAAAATATCCCAATGAAATTGTCAGTATTTTTGACGTCAAAGTATAGTTGACAGAAGTGGTAGTGATTAGTTCATACTCTGACTGTTTCAAAGATTATGTTACAATACGAATGACCGTTTTGGAATGTATATCTTGAAGAAATCCTGATTACGTCCATGTAGGTTTTAGGGTCCATGCTCTTTCATTTGTGATAAAAACATCTTTGGGGTAATTGACTGTCATAACACGGAGTAATAACACAACCCAAATATGGATTAAGAATACATTTATAAAATATAGTTGAGAATTATACTGATAATGACGTAACTTATGTACTCACCCCCATTCAGCTATCTTCCACTATCACCCTTCACACACTTCACACACTTCACACTCTTCACACACACTTTGTTACTCTAACACACACTTTCCAAATATACTAGCCACATAAAGAAACTGTGCACGGAGAAAATATATTCTGGATTGAAATACAACACAGCAAGAACAAAATGATGCAGACGCTGTAGCAGCTGAATGATCGGACCATAAGAAAATGTCAACGGGACCTGAACAACATCTGCTACGATGACGTCAGAAGATCAAAATGGAGTAGGGGGTCAAACGACAAAGTCACAAAGTCAATAACGGGTATGACCACCCTGTGCGTGAATCACAGCAGTGCATCGGCGACGCATGGAGTCCACCAAATGGGCATGGAAGGCCTGGGGAGTGGCCTGCCATATCCTCCTCAAATCCTGTGCCAAGTCACGGACGTTATCTGGAGGATGTGGAAGACGACGCAGACGGCGCTCCATTTCATCCCACACATGCTCTATTGGGGAGAGATCTGGAGAAATTGCAGGCCATGGCAGTAACATGACACTGTTATGGTGAAGGAAATCCATTGCGACCCTAGCCGTGTGAGGACGAGCGTTGTCCTGTTGAAATGTCAATCCCGGGCCATGACGTTGCAGGAAAGGAATGACCACATGCCTCAGAATCTGATCTCTGTAGCCAACACCGGTGAGATTGCCCTGAACAACCACCAAAGGGGTTCCTTGCCGTGCTGTTATCCCACCCCAAATCATCACAGAGCCACCTCCAAAACGATTCCTCTCCACAATACAGTTGCGTGCATAACGTTCTCCCAAACGCCGGTAGACACGTTGGCGCCCGTCACTGTGGGAAATGTTGAACCTCGATTCATCTGTAAAGACAACATTTCTCCACCATATTCGAGGTTGGCGAACATGATTTCGACACCATCTTAGACGGTTGACTCGATGACGGTGTGTCAGGATGGGACGTATCGCAGGGTGTCGTGGTCGAATCCCGTACTGACGTAAACGATTCCTGACAGTGTTGGGATGGATACGGTGCTGTCCAGGAATTGTCTGGGACGTCGTTACTGCCGTTTGGAACCTGTGTCGGAGATGTGTAACTCGAATCCATCTGTCCTGTCTTGGCGTCGCTACTCGGGGACGTCCTGAACGTGGGTGGCCGGCAACGTCATTTGTGTTCTGATAACGCCTCACCAATGCCGATATCGTGTTACGATGGCATTGGAAATGTGTTGCCACCTGTTGTTGCCTCATTCCCGCCCGGATCATTTCAATGGCTTCATGACGCTGTGCAGCTGTCAATTTTGGCATTATTTGCTTGTGATATGCTTGTGTCTGGGCCTGAGAAGTTTTGAATTTTTGAATGACCACAGATCATGCTTTCCAAAGTGACAGCGAATTTTGAGTTGCACATGCTGTGTACAGCTGCACAGGATGCACGTGCAGTATCACATTGCACATCCATAGGCCCCCATCAATGACGTCATATCGCATGGCACGTGCATGAGCGTTTGAATTTCTCCAATAATTGCTGTGTTCAAACCTATCTTTCATATATGGACGGTGTGCCCTTATATCTATATTTTCTCCATGCACAGTTTCTTTATGTGGCTAGTATACTTAAGGTTACTCTACCCCACAAACAAATACACAAAAATTGCACTAATACTCTATCTCCTAAATCCCAACCAATGCATCAATGTATCATTGCATCAATATCAGAACATAAATATATCACAACATCAATACCTCAATACATCAACATCTTAAGGCATCAATGCTTCAATACAACCATGTCAACAATCTATTTTCTCTCATGTACACATTAGGTACACAATATATATACAAAGTCATTTTCTCCATGTCTCCTTCCACCATCACCACACTGTACACTTAACATAGTTCATGGTCACATGAGCCTCACACAGGTCTTATTCCATCCAGATGTAACCATCTTCATATACTCAACAACAAAAGTTCCTGTGACACCAATATTTTAGTGTATTGTTCAAACAAGTGAAGTTTGGTTTTCAATATTGTAGTACATGTATGGAATCAAGTCACAAAAATGCAAAAGTTGACTTTTATGCAAGCCCCATGCATTTCACTACCCAAGAATGGGTATAAAAACGTGTGTTAACGGGATTCCATATGCATTGTTTAGCATCGTGCTGACAACAACCACTCAGAAAAACAACAAATTTACGCAATTATCCAACATTACGAAATGCCACGCCTGTCCGAAAATGAACGTCTGCAAGCCATTGGTATGCTTGAAGCAGGATTGAGTCAACGTGATGTTGCAGGACAACTTAACATCCACAGAAACACCATTTGGTGTTTATGGCAACGTTGGCAACAGACGAATGCAGTCAGAGACCATCCTCTGAGTGGCAGGCCACACGTAACCACTAATTGACAACTGAATTAGAACAACTTACCTTCGAAATCGATTCCAACCAGCAACAGTGACTGCAAGAAGCATCCCTGGCCTTCGACGAATATCTTCACAAACCAT